ACCAAGGTACTGAACTTTAACGAGTCCACTTTCCCTTATGCTTAAAATGAATTCAGCGTGTTCTCCCAGGATTATACTGTGAAGGAAGCAAGCTGTGTGAACGCCTGTAAACTAGTGCCTGGCGTATGAGGCTATCACAAATGGTAGTTCCCTTGCTTCCCGTCCCTCAAGCAGAGCCGAGGGTCCAGATGGGGTGATAGTAAAGTAAGGTGCAGGGGGCTTCCTCCGGTGTTTGCACGTGGCCTAATCTGCACCAGGGAGCTGCTGCAGGCTGTCAAGCAGTGGGAGCAGGGAGTGAAAGTGGTTCTGTTCTTTAGGATATTCCCCAGCCATCAGGTGGCCCCGCTGCTGTGAGACTTCGAGACCTAGTTCCATCCAAGGGCAACTGAGGAACAAGGTTCATTCTGTGCCTTGAGCTATTATGTCCCAGAGGTCAACACTTCCATCTGTGACAAATTAACCTCTAGTTCCCAGCAACATGTTATGTACACTTTGTCACATACTTGGGCTTTCTGGAACCTGTGGTTTTGGGAGGGGAATGGCTGAAACATAAATAAGAATATAGCATGTTGTTGCTATGGAGACGGGGAGCTCCGGAGATGACAGATGACACTTGTGTTCTGCGCTCTTCATGTGTGAACTCACCCAATTTTCATAACTGACACCGTCAGGTGGCATATCAGAACGCACTCTTGCTCTAAGACCAGAACGCTGACAAATTGGACTCCAGCAAGAAAGGGATTCAATTGTCTCATGCAAGTTAAGTATGGGAGGCCAGTCCAGGGCCGCAACGGCAGCTAATCTTGCCCTCCAGCTCTGCCTGTTGTGCTCACGGCACCTGTAGACTTCACTTCTCCATTCAGGAAGAAGCAACCGAAGGCCGAAATGCCATACAAGTACTGTTTTCCTAGAAGCTCTTCAGTCAGAACTGGATGCATTAACAGCAAGCGCATCGGGGATGATGAATTATTCTCAGCTGAGCAGTTTACCCTCAACAAAGGCAGAGCTGAAGTGCCACCTTCCTCCCCTGGGAGCTGATGCCACTGACTGACCCGTCACCACTCAAGTCTGGTGTGTGTGAGATGGGGGTGCAGTCAGGCATGGCCCCTCTGTCCTGGGACCTGCCCCGTCCTTGGTCGTCACTGTGTTCCACACACACCTAGTCATGTTTTGGGGAACTCAGGCTGCAAGAGGGTGCTTTCTGGGCCTGGTTTCTATACCATGTGGACCTGCAGAGGGTCTTTAGAAAAGGAGAAAGGATCCAGTTCTCTTTGAACTGACAGGAAATCAGCTCCCTTTGGGCTGGTCACCCCATTTCTGGGATGACACCCAACAGCTGGGTCCTGAGCACATCCACGGTCAGCACCCCATCTGGCAAGCACCTGACAGTCCAGGGAGCCAGATACCCGCCCGGCACAGCTGCAGCCCTTAAAGGTGTGACACAGGGACCCACCCTGCCGTGCCGTCAGTACCCTAACATGTAAAAGGAAAGAAAAGGGCTGAGGACAGCACCTGCCATCACCTTAGGTTCCAGGAAGAGGGTCTCTTGAAGAGAGGATGGATCAGAGAGAGGAGACAGTTTCAAAGGAGACTAACTGGGGAAAAAAAGCAGCTGAAATTTGGGCAGATGCTAGATGAACTTCTAGAAGGTACTTTAGAGAGAAGGGGATTCAAAACATGTCACAGAGTTAAGGACACGAACAGTGAGGAAAACGAGCCAGGAAGTGTGTCCCTTCCTCCAGGAGCTCCTCCAGGGCCACCTCAGCCAGCAGGGCTGACCACCCGACTCTGTTGCGGCCCTGTGACTTTCTGGCAGGGCCAGACCCGTCCGTGGTTAACAGGAGAATGAAAAGGACAAGTCCTAGCCCCCCTGGGCTCCAGAGCGGGTTAAGTTCAATGCTGGTGGCAGCCTCCCTCTCAGGGGATGTGTGTGCTCGTACACACACACACACACACACACAGGTGCGCTGAGCTCACCCCCCCACCAACCAACTTGTCCTCCAGTGTGCTGCCCCTCACCCCTGGCAGTTGAGGGACACGGTGGGTGTGGATGGAGGCTGGTAAGGAAGAGCTTCGGGAACTCCAGCTGGAGAGGGAGCTGCTTGCTCACAGGCGAGTATGTGGGTCTCAGCAGCCCTAGTCACGCCGGCCTTGCCCGGGAGGGGGCAGAGGCGACAGGGCGGGTCCGAGAGACCCTGGGTGTTCGTTCGCTGCCCAGCGCCCACAGCACCGGGCAGCATTCACGCGGAAAGGCTCAGTCTCCAGAGGAAAGTGGGGTGGAGGGGTGGTGGCAGTCGAGGCACCCTGGGCTGGCTGCCAGCTGGGCGGCTGGGCAGGCAGCGAGGAAGTCTCAGTCGTCTGTCTCCTGTTTGATGTTCTCGATGGGAACGGGCAGCTCTGGACTCGGGGCCTTGTCAGGCGTGGTCACGTCGAGATGCTCTTCCTTTACACGCACGGTAATGACTGAGGAGGAAGAGAGGTGGGGAGCAGGGAGAAGAGAGTGTGCCTGTAACTCTGGGAAGGGCGCGGCCTCGGGATCTGGGGAAGAAATCAGGTTTCCTACGGACAGGCCCTCAGGACATGGCAAGGGGAGCCCCTTCCCCCTCTGTGGGGGCAGGCAGCACAGAAGGCCTAGGGTCCCATCACCCCAGCCAGGCAGGGTGCCCACCCTGCCAAACCCATGAGCTGGGGCCGGAGGTGGAGAGGGCCATGTGAGACGCTCGGCTCCATTCAGAGCTGGGGGTGGGTGTCTGGGAAGCCCTCCAGGCCCAGTGGTCTGAGAAGGGTTGCTTGGTGCCCAGAAACTTCCCTTCAAACTTGACTCTACTCTTCTGTGCCCAGGTGGGGAAGGAGGGGGTCGGCCTCTAAGCACCAGAGCCGCCCCCAACCTCGACCCCGCGTGGGAGGCTCTTACTCTCATCAGGAACGGGCTCCGACGAGATCTTCTCTGCCGCCTGCAGGTCGTCCTCCAGCAGGGGCTTCTTGGACCCCTGTCTGAGGGGCCGGGTCTTGGTTGGTGGTATTCTTTTTCCTTTGAATAAACACAGAATTAAATCCGGGATAGGGATGCATCCACGTGCCGCACGAAGGCTGGGTCTTGCCCAGTGGTCAGGCAGCACAGCAGAGGGGAAAGTGCCAGTTTGGGAGGACAGAGGCCCCAACTCTGACCTCAGCCCCCAGGGCTGTGAGCCTGCAGTTCAGAGGCTGCCTCCAGCAAGGGACTGACACCCACCTCCCCCCACTCGCCGCCATGGTTGTTAAGCTTCCCTTTTCGGATCCTCGCTTTCATGTCTGAAGTGTGATTCCCAGCCCTACACTTTGAACGGCACAGGGTCCTGCCGCTTGGTCGCCTCCACACCCTCACAGCATCTTAATCCTGCCTCGGGACCACACTGTTTCCTCTCTGTTCCCTTCAGGACATCCTCTCCTCTGCATGATACCATGTCAGGAAGCCCACCTCACCGCACTGGCCTGCAGCTCAGCTTGGGGCCTGCTGAGAACGGGCCTGTGTGTGGAGAGGTCCCCAAGATCAGTGGCCGCCCTTCCTCCCACTCCCTGGGGGTCATGAGGGAAAAACGACAGCCTCAGGGAGCGGCTTCCACCCGTTTTCTTTCGTACCTTTTACTTTCAAGCATGGCCTCTACACGTGGCCTCCCTCCACCCCAAACAGTCCCTTCCTTGTCTCTTTTCCTCGGTATCCTGACCATTGCCAGAGATGGAAGACTTACGCTCTGGGTCCCTGAAGACACAGGGTGATTGATGGCTGGGCCCGTGGGGCAAGGGGTGAAGGAGAGGGCGGGACCATGAAGAGCGCGACTTATGTGGCGACACCCCACCTCCGCTCCCAGGGACACAGGCTCAGCTGATCCCAGGTAGCTTTAGAGCATCACTTACTTTTCTTCCCAAACTGTTTCTTTTTCTTCTTTGTGGCCTCTTTGGCTTTCAGAGGCGTGGTGGGCTCTGTTGTTGAAAGTATGGAGAAGAGGTGAGGAGAGAGTTCTGAGAGGACACAGGCTGTAGGCACACCCCAAGATGCCCGTCCGCCCCTCACCGGCCTCCCTGACACAGGGGACGCCCCCAGAAGGAAAGCCAGAGCTGGGCAATGAGAACGGGGAGGGGGCTGCAGAGAGGGACTGGACAACAGCTGTCCCTTCTTCCCACCCTCATCACCACGGCTCTCGGAGGGACCTAGGGAGTTTACCTGGGTGCACAAGGGCACGAGCATATGACAGAGTGGGCAAGGTCAAGGAAGGAGCTGTGCAGGCCAGAGGGAGAGGGAGACAGAGAAGTCAGGAGAGGGAGGGAGACAAGGGCCACTCTCTTCTTAGAAGTGGTCCAGGAGATTCTCGATCTCATGCCAAAGAACGAGGTGGGCATGGGGTGGGGGCGTGGTTGGCAGGAAGAAGAGGAGGAAAGTCAAGAACCCCTTAGGGCTGCGAGAGCCAGACCTGTGGCCACGGGAGGCTGGAGCTGGTAGCCGGTGAGCTCACACCAGCCGACGGGGTAGATGTCCGGGGACTCACAGTCTACCCACTGGTCATACTCGCTGTCCCAGCCATCAAAGTGGATGCTGAGGAGACGGTGCACCACCCGCTTCACAGTGGCCACACAGATGAGCCGGGGCTCCATGAGGTCCACAGCCTCCAGCTTCATGCCCACCTTGAAACCATGGTTGGGGCAGTCCTGGGAGGGGGAACAAAGGCAATGACCAAGCCAGCCAGGGCCCTGCCCCAGCGGGGCAGACCTGGGGGAGGGAGCAGGGCTGAGCATGCCTGCGGGGGGAGGTTCCTCTGACCAGTGATCCCACTGCAATTTGTTCCCAGGCACTGGCCCTTTTGGGAAAGGGACCAGCTGAACTGTTCAGCACAATGCCCATGTCAGAGTTTGGGACTTCTCCCCTGAAGTGGTGGACCTTAGTAGCAAAGACTCAAGAAAAGGGAAGGGGTTGGAATTGCCACCGCTGGCAGTGGGCAGGATTGGTCTCCTCACCGTGTTGAAGAGTCTTGATGGAGCTGCTTTCGCCTTGGTCTTCTCCAAGTAGGTCTCCCAGCTGAAAGTGTGAGCCTCATACCCTGCAGGAGTGGAAAGTGTAGGTGAGGAGGGGGGAAGGGAAGCGGGAGGGAGTCCCGGAAGGTATCCCAGCGCCAAAGGGGCACCTACAGCTCGGTCAGGACCCCCCCGGAGTCTCCCCAGCAGCCTTCTTCCCTCCTCCCCAGGCTGGTACCTGCTCTAGGACCATGGTCCTGTTGCACAAGTTGTTCACTGACCAAAGGGACAAGTGGGAGCTCTGCTCACCAAGCCACATACCAGCCATGGGGCTGAGCCAGCCCAGAGTAAGGGTTAGTGGTGACCCTGGGTAGCTCTGTCACCTCTCCAATCCACTCACAGACTTCAAACTCCAGGGGTCTGGCTTGGCCAGGAATTGGGGCCAGTGGCCACACCCTACTCCTCCCAACTGTAAGGCTCATCTTGCCTTTTGGGGGTGTGAGCTCAATGTCATTCTTCTGGCAGAAGGTGGCTGGGAAGATGGCGTGGGAAGAGGCATGGTAACAGAACCAGTCTGAGCCATCTGTGGAGGGCCCCCCGTCCACACAGATCATCAGGTAGCCATCCAGGAGGACCTAGCATGTGGAGAGGAGGAGGGCAGACAGAACATGGTATCCTGAACTGCACCCCCATCCCAGGGTGAGGTGATACGATGGGGATGCAAGGTGGATGGATCCAACCAGAGCTGGTTCTCAGCCTTCCCCGAGCTGCTTCAGAGCACTCAGCACTGGTGTAACCCACACTCGTGAGATCATTTAGCCTCCTCACTAGATAGCAAATGCTGTGCCAGCAGGAACTGCATCTGTCTTCTTGTCAGTGTGTTCTCAGTGAACACATGGGCCCAGCCTGGAGATCTGCTGGATGGATAAATCAGCATAAGCCCCTGGAGGGCCGCAGGGTGGCTGTTGGCTCTTCAGGCTGCTGCAATAACAGAGGTTTGCAGTGAAGTCAGCCCGGCTATTGCTTGGCTAGATCAGCACTCAAAGGAGATGGCATGTGGCAGCAGGGAGGCCTACACCTGACCCAGGACAGGCTCAGGCCAGATGTTCAGTAAGCACCTGTCCAACGCACCTCTGACCCTGACACGAAAGCAGGTAGCCCAGGAGCAGCCAGAACTGGGAAGCTCTGCCACCTCCATGCCCGCAGAAAGCCATACTGGAGGCTCCCCCAAGCTCACCTTGCAGATGGTTGCCACGCAGATGTTGCCCAGATTCAGGGGGTCAATGGCTTCCAGTTTCATCCCCTCCTCAAACCAACCACCTTCTGTGTAGACAGCTCGAACCTTAAAGGAATGGGGTACTTGGGGAATCTCTGGGCTGGCCCAGGGGAAGGTGGGAAAGCAGGCCTCACCTGCCATTGGCCTGGGAAGGAAGTGGGGAGGGAAAGGGACATCCCAGGGAAGAGCTGGGGTCTGCAGGCCTGGAGTGGACCTGTGGCCAAGGGGACAGTGCCCAAGGGCTGTGCCTCACCTTCTTGAACAGATAAGGAACAGCATCACAGTAGATCTTCCGGAAAGTGGGATGGTGGGCCATGTCGCTGCGCCTCTCTTTTAGGGAAATGGCAGAGGGAGGAAGGGAGAAAAGGAAGGTAAAGCTGCTAACAGGGCCATCTCCACACCTCCCCCAGAAATGTGCCCCCCCAGACCAGAAGCTCTCTGTAGGAATTATTCATTCACATGGAAAGGACGTGGCCTGTAGCCTCTGGTTTCAAACCAGTTTTTAACACTTCAACCTGAGTATCCTCGGTCAAGGCACTCAACCTCTCGGGATACTTGGTCAAGTCCTGCCATCCGCAGGGTATAGATGATCGCCTCTACCGTGCAGCATGATTGTGGGGTTTAGAGATGTGCCCTCGCTGGCCAGGGACTTCTGCTAACCTGACAGCTTGATGCCATGGCCGACACGCCTTGACCAACCCACTGGGTGGATCAGGGGGCTCCACATGTGGCACCAGAAGTCATCATCGCTGTCGCCATCCTCGTAGAGAAGCCGTAGGCGACCCCCGATTACCGTGTCCACCACAGCCATGCGGGTCCGTGACACCTGGGACTTGTCCACCACCTCCAGCCGCATGCCCTGCCGAAAGGGGTACTTCATGCTCTCCACCATCTGCAATGACATCAGAGAACAGGCCTGCTGGGGTCATGTGGACCCTCCCACCCACCTTCCTGTTCTGTCCCTTAAGAGTAACCAGAGGATGGGGAAGGTGGAGTGGAAGCACCGCACACACTGCGTCAGGAAGCAGGTAGATGAGCCCTCCTGTCCCGCCAGGTGCAACCCTGGCTCCCAAGTCCCTAGGATGATACTTGATGATATGATTTTTACATGTGCACCAAAATGCCAGTAAGTCATTATGATGGGTATTACAGATCGCTTTTCAGACTAAGGAAACAGGGGCCCCAGAGAGGTCACGTGACTTACCCAGAGTCACATGGGCTCGTTAGTGGCAGAGCTGGGCCGCAGATCTGGCTCTGGTGTCCAGCTCTGTGCTCTTTCAGGGACCTGCACTCTGGTCACACGGGTGCCCCACTCCCCTCTACCTTCTGCCCCCCACTGACGGCACACACAAGCCTCGCGTTTAAGGAACTGAGTGCCCCTTGCCTCGATACATCTAATTTCAGCTCCAGCCCCTCTGGGCTGCAGCTCTGAACGGCTCTCATAGCACCTCAGTAGTAATGCCTGCCCCTCTGACGCAGCAAAGGACAGTGACCAAGATGTCCACAAGCTGCTCTAGAGCCCTGGTGGCAGGGCCTAGGTGAGGAGACGGGAGATTCTTTGCTGTGACTTTGGTGCTGTCCTGCCGGGGGGTAGAGGATGGTTACGAAAGCTCTGTAGGGCTTTTCCAGTACCAGGGCACTGCGGGCTCAAGAAGCATCCCAGTCTCCACGTGACGGGGGCTGAGCAGTGCTATTCCAAATCCCACCAGGAGGGGGAGCGGCTCAAGGGTCACAAAGCAGCCACCAGGACAGATCTTTCACCCGCAGCTCAAGGGCTGGAATATACCAGGCCCATTTAGCAGAGGGAAAGACACAGGGTGACAACTGGGCTGGGGTCCCTCTGGGCCGCCTCCCCGCCGCTGGCCTTTCCTGACAAGCTCCTTTCCTCTGTGCCCACTGGTGCAGCCCACGACCCGACAATGCTTTATTGCCCTCATTTGTTTAAGGTCACACTGGAACTCAAGGTCTGTAAAGGCAGAAGCTAGGTTTGAGTCATTTCTATTGTACATTCTCAGCTCCAAGCACAGAACTAGGCACGGAGACAGTGTTCAGTTGATGGTTTTTCTCAACACACACATACACACACACACACACACCTCTGACCTTGGCTGATGGGCATTCAGTTGAAACATTTACAAAGCACTTACCATATTGAAGCACTTACCATATTGCGGGACTGGATTACCACATAGGGATGGGATTTGGATTTGAGCTCCCTCCACAGACCCACCCCTCCTATCCTCTCCACCCCGCAATCTTCAGAGGCAGCTGCTTTTGTACGCGTGCCCTGCAGGGACTGGGCACGTGACAGCTAGTGTGTGCTTGCTGACTGTTCACGAAGAGCCCTGCTCTGCCACCCAGAACCAAGCTCTTTTTAATTTAAGCAGAGATGAGGCCACCTTGACACTCCTGGTGGCCTGCACACAGCCACTTGCCTTATCCTAACACTAGGGCCAGCTCATCTTCAGTCACCAACCCTGTCCACTGTGCAAGGTACTATGGGAAATATAGGAGAAAAAGCTTGCAGTTTTGTGGAAAAGACTATGATAATTAACAAAATATAGAGAGATGAATAGCAAATGAGCACTACCCAGTATGTTCAAATAAGGGAAAAACTGTTTTTGAGGTGCTTGGAACCATTACTCATTGAAGACCAGCTAAGGCCCACAGCGCCAATGTTCTCACCAGGCATCCGGGGCCTTGGGTGAGATGGCCCCAACTACCCCCCCATCTGACTTTCCACCGCTGGCTTCCATGCCTGCCCACATCCTACCCATCAAGGTAGAATTCAAATGCCATCTTCTCCACAAAGCCTCCCTCAATACCTGCTCGTCCTGAGGCCACAAGACCAGTTCAACCACATGTCACGGTGGTACCTGCCCTGCATCCCCTTGGCTCGCTGCTGTGATGCTTACCCAAGCAACATGAGAACAACATGTGTGGGCATCCGGGTCAGGGGCCCCAGAGACCCTAGATGTGGCCCAGGCACCTATGTGAGTGAGCCGCACAACAGCAGGCCTGGCACACAAAGGGGGAAGAGACTAAGTCTTCACTGCATATCCTTGTGATCCCTTTGAATTTTTACCATGTGTATGATTTTTTATGTTAAAGAACTAAATAATTTTCAAAAATTAAAATGAAATGCCACACAGATGACTTTGAGGCACATCTCTGGTACAAAATCAAGGCTATTTTATAATTTTTCATGGGTGTGACTTCGTCTCCTCTGCCAGACTGGACAGTCCCAGATGGCAGGGTCCACATTCTTCATATTTCCAGTGCCTTACATACAACAAGTACTTAATAAAATCGATTGAATGAACTCTCCTGAAAATGCTATGAGCAAAGGTAAGGATCTAGAAGAAGAAATGGCAGACAAAGCAACATGGTCGATGCGTCTGAGCAGGGAGGAGGCTGGGAAGGCAGATGACACCCACCATCCATCCTTAGGAAATCTGGAGCCGCTAAGATTGCTAAGCAACGGAGTCTTAGAAAAAATACTCCAGTGAATAGCACAAAGGACAGATCAAACGGGATAGGGGCAGGAAGGAGATCAGTTAGGAGACCCACAGGGCTCACTGCCAGACCTTGATATGGAAATCCACGGGAAGCGTCCTGGAGCCCACCAACCGTTTCATGAGGTAGCCCTTCCAATCAGTGAACTTGGCATGGATGGCTGCAGAGACAGAGCAGGACCCTGAGTACAGACTGACAACACTCCCACTGATGGGGCACCAAAGCTGCCCCAGAGAGCAGCAGAGGGGCCTAAATAACTTACTTCTGCCTTTTCAGGCCAGCAATCACCATCTTATAAAACCGGACTCCCCCAACTTGGACCTGCCACGGGGCCTCTGGGACAAGGCAGGACAGGAAGCAAGGAGGCAGGTGGGCCCTGTTCTGTTCTACCTGCTCCCAAGGGCCCCGTAGGAACCAGGACAGGGAACGTTCTCATCAACTCACTCCGCGGGGGCACCAGGATCTTGCTGTTGATGGCACACCAGCCGATGGGGTGGACATCCACAGTCCCCAGGTTGCACCAGAAGTCATGGCTGGCGTCATTTTCAAAGCCTTCATAGCGGAGCAGCACCCGGTACCCTGAGGAGGAGGAGGGAGCGGTGTGCTCTTAGGCCTTCGCTCTTCTCCAGCCTGAACAGGACTTGTGCTGCCTATTTCAAGAACTCCTTCCACAACAGCCAGAGTAAAAACAAACCCATTCCACGTACTCGGAAAGCAGTACAGCACAGTAGGGAGAATAATTTTCTATAGCCTGATCAACCCCGGAATGAACTTAAAAGGTGGGAGTTTCCAAACTCGCCAAGCTCTGTGGTCCCCTCTAAGGTAGGCAAGATAAAAGAACAGCAAGAAGGGAGGCAGAAACTCCAGCAGGCGGGTTTTTGTGTTTGCTTTATGAAGCTTATTTCTGCTCCACCACTGCCCGTCCATCTGGAGATGTCACTGCGCAGCCAGACCCTGCCTCGGCCGGAGGAACACCCACCTGCCGCCTGGATGACCGAGGCGATCCAGTACACACGGCTGGGGAGCACAGCATCGCTGTTGAGCACCTCCACCTTCATCCCCTTCATCACATCCTCCCACTGGTCATAGAGTGGGACCTGTAAGGGGGACAGTGAGCCACCTGGGCTGGCAGAGGAGAGCAGCTGGCTGAGGGGCCTTGCGAGAGTCTGCGTCCTTCCTCCTTCGCCCCTCAGCGTTGCCCCTCACTCTTTGTGTGTGGAAGGCCAGGCCGGGGACCAGGGATGAAGAGACGGGCAAGACGTGGTGGTGGGGCTGGGCAGAAACCCAGAGTCAGATGGTCCTGGGTTCTAAGCTCTCCACGGCCGCTCCTGGCTGCTATCCTCGCGGGCACACCATGGCTGTGCCAGCCTGCGTGACAGTCACGACGCCTAGCAGTTTCTCACCCTCAGCACATGCCAGGCGCCATTCTCGGCACAAATAGCACCTCTTTCAGTCGTCACTCCACCTGGGCCGTTAGGACCACGACCCCTGGTCTCGCAGCTGTCGCCAGGCTGGCTCTCACAGCCGGCTGCCCACCCACCGCTCTGGCACGTCCTTTCTCCATCTCTCCTCCTCCTGTTAACATGCCCCCGACAGCACTGGACTGCTTGGGGCTGCCTCCCCAGTATCTAATCCTTACTTTGCTGCCGGTGGCACTTTGGTTCTCCTTTGGGGAGATTCTCCTTTTTTCCTTCTCAGCCCTGGTTTCAGTCAATCAGTGTATCCCATTCCATCTCCCTGGCCGGAGGGACTGGGTTCATCACAGAACCCAGAAACAGTTACACTGCTCAGGCACATTCAGGTGGGCTTTTTACAGAGCATATCGAGGCAGATATATTAGTGCAAGTATGATGCAACTCCCCGCAATGAAATGCCTGAACTGCTAGGGAATTCAGGAAGCAAAGAGCTCCCCCCACTGGGAAAGACGTGCACCTTCACTAGCAACCAGACAGGAGAGGAGGAGTTAAGCTGCATCGAGTGCCAACCTTTTCCTGATCAGCACCCTCCCCAGAGTTCAGTAGCAGCTCAGAAATTAGAGGCTAGGAAGTGGGTTTAAAGAGGTCTCCTCCTGGATTTCCCGGGTTTAGGAAATTGGCTTGAAAGACAAGAGAGCTCCCTCGGTTTCTCTCTGCGCCTGCAGGAGACCACCGCTCAGGCCTGCCTGCTAAGTTCTTCGGCTCCAAGCCCAGCCCTCCAGGTCTCGGCCTTTGCTGTTTCTCAGTGACAGGGAGTCGGGGAGCCTTCAGAAGGGGCTCCAGGAGGCATCCACATTGGCCTCCCGGGAACCAAGGGGCCCAGGGCAGTTCACAGCACCAAGCTTTCAACGGGAAAGCACTAAAAATGGGGGAAAAGGAGAAAGAGATTCTCAAAGTTTGCTTTTGGATATCAAAGCACAAAGTGCCATTATGTAAATGAGCGAAGTGGGGAACCTCAGAGGGGCTAGAAGCTCTCATTGAGGGTCTGTGGGAGGACTTTCTGAAAAAGTGGACAGAAAGGCAAGCTGGAGGGAGCGGCAAAGCTGGGCTTCGAGCACCCAGACCTCACCCTGTTCTCTCCCGGTGCCGACGCTGTGAGGCAGGTGGGTGAGATGGTGGCAGCACTCAGGACCCCTGCCCTCCCCCCCCCTCATCCCCAGGGCACTCACGTGTTTAAAGCAGCTGACAGGAGCAGCCTTGTAACTGTGATCCTTCAGGAACTTCCCCCAGTCAAAACCCAAGACCAGCGCTGCGGGGGCAAAGATGGAGAGGGTTAAAGGGTCGAAGCTGGGAGCTCCGGCAGCAGCCATTCCAGGACCCCAGGCCGGAGGGGCAGGGGCAGCAGGTCCCTTCCTCACCCCATACCTGCCCCAGCAGCGGCCATCAGGACGGCGGAGGGCCTTATCCAAAGGCTGCCAGACTCTCAGGAGTAGAGGAAACACTCAGAGGGAAATATGTCTGGTCTTCCTTCCCCAGAGAAAGACGGAAATTCAAAGACCCTTGGGCTTAAATTCCTCAGACCGCCCCCAACCTCTCATTGGCCACAGCCAATCTAAATGGGTGGGAGGTGCACACACCTAGGCCCCTCCAACCCTTGAGCCTGGGGGCTCAATATCGGTCAGAAACTCAGACCATCTAGCGCAGTCGCTTCATGCCTACATTTGCTCAGAAATAACTACATGAGCTCAGAAAGAGAGAAAGGTTCCTCCCTTATCCCATCACCCTTCTTCAAACAAGATCTGGGTCTCCACTACCCCAGGGAAACAGAAGCCAGAGAGCTAAAGGCAATGCAAAACAAAAGAAGCTAATCCTCGGCTTTTAAATTATCAAGAGTAGGGGTCTTGGCAATTTAAGAGTGATTGAGGGATCTTCTGGGTAATTTCACAATTACCAGGTGAGGAAGATACAATCCAAAGCAAGCCTGGGCCGGCACTTTCCAGCTGGCCACCTTTTCCAATCCTCGCTCCTTGGGAGGCCACCCCAGTCCTGGCACTGCACCCAACCTGCTTCCTGAGCACCGGTCCCTGCAGTCTTACCGTCCTGCCCTGTTGGTGTCCCATCTGCGAGTTGTCCTGTCCCTTGGGAATGGAGGAAGGCTCCAATTTTGGCAGACCAGGCAGCTTTGTGTAGGACTTTGGCCTTCTTGGTAGGTGGTTTTCCCTGGAGGGAGGAGAGAGTGTGTAGCCTAAAGGCTAAGAACAAGGATCTGGATTTGGACAGGTTTAAATCAGGCGTCAGTGCAGTTAACCTCTTTGGGACTTCAGTTTCTTCATTTGTAAATCAAGATGATAACAATGATAATGCTTAGCTCAGAGGGGAGTTGCAAGGATGGGGGTTGCCCACACTTAGCTATTGTTCAACTGGAGGGGGGGTGGGGATTGGCAGAGCCACACACAGGGAGGGGCACATTTACTATCTTTTAAGCCCCGCCTCTGCCAGGAACCTCTTCTTGGTGTCGTCAACTCTCAGCCATCTCCTTCCTTTGGTGCTCCTACAAATTTATGGCAGAGAATGGGCTTCAAAGGGCTCGTGAACTGAACCATGGACTCGCTCTAGAACATACATGAATGTTCTAGAGAGAGTCCATAGCTTATCGGGTGCTCAAAGGCATCCTCCCCCAAAGTGAAAGGCCACTGGTCTGGTCTGTAATTTGTAACTTAAGTACTGATCAGAAAGGCCCAGAGAATTTATTAAAGAGATCAGTGAAATAGAAATGTGGATTGAGGGAGTTCCCTGGCAGTCTAGTGGTTAGGATTTGGCGCTTTCACTGGTTCAATCTCTGGTTGGGGAACTGAGATCTTGCAAGCTGTGAGGCGTGGCCAAAATTTTTTTTTTAATTTGGGTTTAAATTCCAGAGACCTGGGTCCAAACCCTGGCTCTTCAATTTTATTTGTGTACCTCTAAGTAAGTTAGTAAAAATTTTTGAACCCTTAAAATCGGAATCTTTAAAAATTCATTTTTTAGGGATCACTGGTTGGACTGAGTGCCAAGCCCATAGCAAGTATCTCCAAACTATAGTTATAAACAATACCATTATTAGCTCACTGAGAAGGACTTTTCTATGCCTTGACTAAAATCTGCAAAATGAGGGAAATAATAGTAACTATCTCACAAAGTGAGATAGAGTGTATGAGGCACTAAGCAGAAGAGCTGGCACTGCGACCCGCAATAAACATCACGCTTCACAGGACAATCACCTGGGGGGCTCGTTAAAGGCCCTGTGTCCAGGCTACACTCAGCCCCAATTAAATCAGAATCTTTGAGAGTGAGACCCAAGCATCAATATTTTTTAAGGTTTGCAGGTGACCCCAACGTGCAGTCAAGTTTGAGAACCGGTGCTGTGAAAACACAAGGCCAGTCTGCTGATTGTTCCTGTCTCAGCGCCCACGGCCCCAGGAAGGGTCTTCCAAGTGATGGCCTCTCACCTGTAATCTAGCCAAGATACTGGCTTTCTTGGAGTTGGAGGAGTAGCTCCTAGAACAGGAGACACTGCAGAATCTCTTGGTCTTGGAGAAGAAGGCTTCCCTCGTACCCACGATACCACACATCTCACAGACAGCTGGGAAGAGAACTTAGCACATGACTCCCTTGATCGTCACTCCAAATCAAACAAAATGACGGGCCCTTCAAAACCTGGGGCACTGCATTAATCAGGCGAGTCCCAGGCCCCCTAAGGCAGACAGAACTGGAATAGAAGGTTTGGGTGTGTACACCTGAAGCTCCTTAGCACCCCTTGGCTACATGTGTCAATGGTGGGGCTAAGGAAAATCCATGAGGATGACTGGAGAAACAGGTGAGTGTTGGAAAGTTTGCAAAGAGGAAAATGAGAAGAAAAAATGTACCCATATCATTTAATTTCCGTGGGCCTATTTTTTTCTCATCTATAAAGAGACTGAACTAGATCAATGTTTCATCCCTGATATCACATCAGAGTCACTTGAGGAGCGTTTAAAAATGCCCAAGCCTGGGCTTCCCTGGTGGTGCAGTGGTTGACAGTCCACCTGCCGATGCAGGGGACACGGGTTCGTGCCCCGGGCCGGGAAGATTCCACATGCCGCGGAGCGGCTGGGCCCGTGAGCCATGGCCGCTGAGCCTGCGCGTCCGGAGCCTGTGCTCC